GGCTGGAGCCGCGGAGCCGGCGCTGAGAGCGGCTGCGGCCGGAGCGGGCGACCGAGACAAAGGCGACGGTGAGTGCAGCGCCGGCCTGGGGAGCGCCCCGGGCCCCACGCTTCGCTCGCGCGACCCCTGGGGTGAGAACCCGAAACCCCGAACCCCGGCAGCGGAGGGCTCGGGGCTTGGGCGGCCGGGCCCTGCCCGCCGCGCGCTGCGGGTTGTGGGCTGAGACGGCGGCTCCATTTTCAGGTTTGGGCGAGGTCCTCGCGCAGACCCTGCCTGTGCCGTTTCTTCATTCCCGCTGGGGAATGGTTTTCTGCTCGGTTCAGAATTCACGACAGGCGGGAGGCTGAAGAAGCCAACCGCCCGCCAGATGTAAAATGGCCTTGAGGACCCCTCCCCCCAACTTTGCAGGTCTGGAAGTCTGAAGGATGGCGCAAGGGGAGGGCTGAGAGGGCCGGGGTGGTCCAGGTGAGGGTTGGGGAGGGTAGGGAACCCCGGCTTCGGAAGCCCGGCTGTCGCCTGGGGCGCCCGGGCGGTTTCGCCCGAGGGTCTCGCGGAGGTTCTTTTAGGTCGGGTGGAGAAAGCCCTGACCACCTCCTCGCTGGAGCTCGTGCTACTCTTACAGGTTGTTGCACTCAGCTTTTGCTGTTTAGTTGTGATTTTTGGTAACGGGTGTGGTAGGTAGCGGCTTGCTGATGCCGCATTAATAGCTGAAAAGGAGCCCCGATGGGTGACTTCATCTGTGTAGAAAACAACACAGGGATTATTCTTTACATGCTATTATTTTAAATGATAAGCTTTTCCTGGAGAATTGTTGATGTTCACTTTATTAAACTTAGACGTATTGTTAAAAGGTCCGGCGTATATAGATGCCCAGTTAAAATATTTCAATGAATGAATGAATCTCGAAAACAGACGTTTGGGCATCTTAACCTCTTGACTCAAATTGAAAAACAAAAACAAAAAAAAAACCCGTGGGCAAACAAGATGTAGGTATTGTTAACGAGTTGTTTTGTTGTGTGTGGTGTATTTTTTTTTTTTTTGTCCCTAACGTATGCGTACTGTTGATGAAGAAAAATCACTTGTTAACTATTTTGAGCATATAAAATAGGAAGGGTGGGATTTTTAAAATTTTGAATGTGGTACATATTTTCTATTTCTTCAAAATAAGCCATATTCCTAATTTTCAAAAGAAAGGAGAAGATAGAGAAGACTTGCAGAGATTCTATTTTGTTTTTTGAGGCCCAGCTTTCTGTTTCAATATGAATAGGAAGTTTGTGTTTCTTGAGTTGGTATGAGAACTCTAAATTTAGGAGAGAAAAAGCTAATGTTGCACTGACATAGTTAAATCTCACCATTTACTCAACATATTCACCATTTACTCAACAATTGTGTCCTGGGACCAGTGTTGGGTGCTGAGTTTCTAGAGATGAATAATTACCTGTTCTTAAACTTGGGCGTGAAATTCTTTATTATGGATGTTGGGAATGGGGACTGTCTTTTGCTCCCACGTGCCTATTTAATGTTGGGGAAAATGGCAGGTGAATTGCAGGAAATGTAGATTCATTAATATTTAAAGGTTAATAAGTAACTTTATAGGGCCTGGATCATTAGGTTATGTTTCATATTGTCAGTTTAATAAACTGCATTTTAGATTCAAGGGAAAAATAGGCTCAGTACAATATTTTTTGGTTTTAATCTCCCTTTTACTTGGGTTTGGTACAGCTTATGAAGATTAATGCGCTTTTGATTGTTTCCTGTAAATGATAACTTGCTATATAGAACCTTCTGTTTTCAAAAAACTCCAAGAAGTTAAGGATTCTTTTTCTATGTTGTTTGAATAAGTCACTTTTTCAGAAATATTATTTTGACCTTTTTATCACCACTTAACAAACACAGAATTGACTTGCTAGTGCTAAGCAGGGAAGGACTATTAGTAATGATTTGTGTTCCATCTTTGCACTTTTTTGTGTTGTCACTGATAAAACTTACTGAAGAGGATGAGATTTTTAGAATTGCATATTACTTTTGAACATAGGTTTGCATTGCCTAGTTCACATTAGTTACATAAGATAAGAACTGGTATTTTATATGACCTCTTCAGAAGTCCAGTGTTACAAAGTTAATACTGATTATTATAAAGTAATATAACTTTTTACCAGAAAGCTTTTTAATGGGCCCTTTTGACCTACCAGTGTTTGTAACATCTTACACATTGTTGAAGAAAGTGTATTCATTAAGATAGAACTTTGAGATTTTAGGCTTGTTTACTACTAGTTTTTCTTTATGGGTTTTCCTAGGAATGTGACAAACAGTCCCTAAAATTTTAGCATTGGAGAGTTGTGATACTTTTAATTACATGCATATTTCTTGTAATAAGAATTATTTGACACATAACTTGGTTATCTTGATGACCTGGTGTTCATGAGGAACCCATGATAAAGGACAATACAAACAAGCTATGATAAGTTGAATAAGAAATGTTTGGCATATTTTGTTTGGATAAGCAATCTTGTCAACAGCATTGAGATAAGTTACAATATTTTTTCCAAGTAATATGAGCCTTGACTTTTTTATGCATCTTAATACTTTATATTCAAAGTATTACTCCTTCTGTGGAATTATTTGTAATGTTTTGAGGCGAAATTCCTGTGTCATCCCATTTGATAAATGGTGGAATATTAAATATTGGTGCTTTCATCAGAGTATGTGTCTTAGGGTAAGTTTATTTTCTTGGTAAGACCTGTTAGAATGACTTAGAAAGCATTTTCTTTATCAGATGTAATTAATTAAGTGATTAAGGAAGTTGCTGTTGGGCCATGTTGCAGCTGCATGAGGTTTTCCCTGATGGAGGGTGAGAGATCACCAACGAGCATTTGTGTAAGACATTTCCAAAGCACTTTATAACTATTTCCTCATATTTATTCTCAGTGATAGGTTGCTATTATGATTTTATCTTCCATTTCTCTCTCTCTTTTTAAATCATCAAAGTGGGTTTCTCATCTATTTTAGGGTGAGTCTACTTTAGGGTGAGTATTTTGTTAAGACTTTGTAAGGTTTTTCTCACAAATACAAATGTATATTAGTTTTGAGCTGTTACAGTGTTCTTAATCTCAGTTCTCACAAGAAAAATATTTTAACAATTTATTAAATGTTAAATGTTGGTAGTATCTGTAGATCTGTCTCAGGTACATTGTGGGTTCTTTGGTGATACTTGAGAGGAACGAAGTGAAACATGTTTATCCTTAATATTTAGGAATCGGGTGAGGGTATTTATTTTGATGAGTGTTTTTTGTCTGTTTGCTTGTCTTCATGTTACCTGGAAAAACCAAGTCATCATTTTTAGAATTGAGCATGTTAATAATTAACTTCCTGCATTAAGTTTTACTGCTAGCCCAGTCAAAGCTTGCATATACTGGAACTTTTCTATAATACTGAACAAATAATGAACAGAGGAGGATTTAACTAAAACTGCTCTGGGACTCCATCCAAAGGGAGTTTCTGAATTGAAAACCAGAGGAGTTGGTAAGTTATCTTTATCTCAACACAGTAAAATACCTGTAAATGTGTTTTATTCTAAATGGATTATAGTAAAACAAACTCCCTCTTTTTCTTAGAACACATTAGATAACTAGCTTAAATTTAGGTGACTTCGAAACTGACTAAATGAGGAACACAAATACTTAACATTTTGTAGCTACCCATTTATAATTCATGCTAACCTTTCTTACTAAAGCTTTCAATTTTTGTGACCATCTCATATTAAAACATTCTATTTCATTTGACTTAATCTACAAATTTTGCTTAATAAAGCAAAAATAAATTTTTGTGTGTATTCAACATTGGGTATATTGGGAATTTGGGAAGATTTAGGCAGAACTTGACTGTTTACTTTTTTTTTT